TCATGACTTTTCCAAACACCCAATAACAAAGGCCTAGGGGAAGGAAACATTGGGTGGTTTGGGGGACTCAACAGACCAGGAATGAGGCTGGATGCCTGTGGGTAAAGGTGAGAAAAAGGCCGGATCCAAAGGGAAGAGGGGCCTTGAGTGCTTACATTCGGGTTTCTCTGTGAAATAGAAGAGGTGACCCCTGAGGGTGGGGAGCCGGGGAAGATCGCAGCAGCCCTGATGGAGAATGTGAGGGACAAAGGCTGTCTGGTAGGTCTTAGCTGAGGGTGGAGACTGGATTTGTGGGTGAGCAAATACGTAGAATCCACAGGAGAAAAGTAGTACATGTCGTAGCAGAGACTCGGATCAGAAGTAAGATGGGAGAGGTTATTTCCAATTGGAGGAAACAGAGCAGACTTCATAGAAGTGACATGTGGACCTGAGGAGATGAACAGAAAGGCAAGCAGACCATGGAAGCCTTGACTGATGTGACAGGAAGTTGGGCTTTATTCCTAGGCCATTGGTAGGTTTTAAAATGAGAAGTAATGTGATCCGATTTGTGCTCTATGAATGTCATTGTAGCAGGACTGTGGCAGTTAAACTAGAAGAAGGCCACACTCAAAGCAGACACATAGTTGGCAGAAAATCTAAGGCCTCAAAGACAAAGAGTCGAACCCTGCAGTGCTCTGAGAAGCTTCAGTGTCACTGTCATAGAACCAGTGGGTTGGGTGTGTGCCCGTTCCACCAGGCCCCCGGAGGGCCTGTGGGAGCCTCCCTACAGTTTTTCATGGATGCCACATCAGTGGGCAGGCCAGCCCAGCCACTGTGCTCTCACTTTGCCCCCACATGAGGTACCTGAGCCCTCTCTGTGACAGCGAATCCTCGCAAAGCTTTCTCCCAGCGGACTGATCATCCCCAGGTTACAGGTGAGGGAATGGAGGTTGGCAGCATTAAAGTCACTTGTGGAGGGATATGTTGTTAGTGGACTTGGATCTAGGGCTAGCTTCTAATCTCATGCCTGTTAGGAAGTGCCAACTGAAAGGATATGTTCACGTTACAATGGCCAAATTGTAGGCATCATGGCCTATCCTGGAAGAGGTCTCTTTGAAGGTCCATGGGTTTCCATGAGCAGAAGAGTGCATTGTGTTCATTCCACATTCCTGCTGCTGGTGAGCGCCAGCCTGACAGCCATGTGACAGACACCACCGATGTCTGAGTCCCTAAGGGGCCTTGAAGCCAACATACTTTAGGCAGGAAACAAGAGATGGTGGGTGCTTGTTGAGTAGCACTCACTCTGCTCGTGTCTTCAGTGGGTGCATTTTATCTCAGGGCTCCTCAATGGCCAGTGTCCCAAGGTGGACACGTGCAGTGTTCTGAGTTGCTTCCAATGCCCCCAAAGCTCACATCTGTCTCTCCCCTCCTTCTGCTGCAGATCCTGGCGCCCCTGTGAAATTGCCTTGTCTGCCAGTGAAACTGTCGCCTCCGCTACCTCCAAAGAAAGTCATGATCTGTATGCCTGTAGGGGGGCCAGACCTCTCCCTGGCATCCTACGCAGCCCAGAAGAGTGGCCAGCAGGGCGGGGCCCAGCACCACCACACAGTCCTGCCGTCCCAGATCCAGCACCAGCTGCAGTATGGCAGCCTCGGCCAGCACCTCCCCTCCACCACGGGGTCCCTCCCCATGCACCCCTCGGGCTGCAGGATGATAGACGAGCTGAACAAAACGCTGGCCATGACCATGCAGAGGCTGGAAAGGTAACTGGGGTGGAGGGTGAGGGCTGAAGGAGAGGGTTTGGCTGGAGAGCGGGTAGATGAAGAGTTGGGGATTTGACCATGATGGAGGAATGCAGGGCAAGGCTCATCCTCACTGGGGGAAAAAAGTTTGAAAGTAAAATCGGACCAAAATCTGAATGTCAAGGATAGTATGGGAGAAAAAAAGTGTTGCCAATTGCCAAACTATAGAACAATCACATTTATCAAAAAGAAAAAGTAACATATGTTAGCACATACTGGGGGTGCTAGAAAAATGTACACATTTTAAGAGATGTTATCTATATATTACTTTTTGAAGTTGAATTGAATTAAGGTAGCAATGTGTAGTATGATGTTGGCTGAAAAGACGGCGTTAATCAAATGAATACTAGCATCATTCATTGTATTACAATTTTAATGCAGTTTTTTCCTTTCTTAAAATGTGTATACATTTTTTGGCACCATCTGTTTTATATTTCTATAAAGCTTAACATTTTTTGAAAGCATATATATATACACATAATCATTAATAGTAGTTACCCCTAGGGTAGGAAGATGGGGAGAAAAATCTTCGTTTTCTATTTCATATTTTTTATTTTATTTTATAGGTATTACTTTTATGAAATTTAAAAAATAAACAATTTGAATGTAAAATAAGAAAAGATGAGAGCTGGCAGGGCAGTGGTGGAAAACCAGAGGGATGGGAAGGTGAGGAGGTACACCTCAGTTCTTGCCAAGGGAGGAAGTGAAGTTCCATTGTTTGATTAGATGTATATGAACCTCTAATATTTAGCAATAACTGGTCCAGCCGTCTCTTTCACCAGAATTTGCTTCCAATAGCATTGCTGGGAGATCTGCCTAGAGGACCTTAAGGGCAGACCTTAGGACCTTCATAAAGACCCTGACTCCCCACCGCCTAGGGAGAGCTCTCAGGCTGGTCCTGCCTAGCTCCCCTGTGTGTGTGTGTGTGTGTGTGTGTGTGTTCAAATACCATGCCTCTTGTGCCCAAGAGGTGGCTGAGATTCCCCATTGTGATGCCAAGGCATGTTGCTTGACTTAGTTCCCTGGCATGACAAGAAGAAAGTGGCAATCTGGCATGAAGGGTGTGTCTGAGCTGGGACCTTGAATGCCTGTCCCAGGTTAGTGACCACTGTAACTGGGTCCTATGGATGAGAAACTTACAGTCTGGGAGACCTAGCTGATCACCAGACGGGGAGCCAGAGGCAAGATGGACACTGTCAGTGGCTTTCGTTTCCTGACACTCAATGACTGTCTCCCTTCCTGCATCTCAACCAGGTAGTCTGTGTTTGGGAAATTGGTCATTCCAAGGGAAATTGCTGTCACCAGGAATTCTGACTTGATTGTGCCACATTAAAAAGAAAAAAAGCATTTAGCACTTGCCATCATTTTCATCTACTATTATTGTTAATGAGGACAATAATAATTTAAAATTTGGATGGCACTTTTTAGTCAATTACACACCTTTGTTATCATCTTAATCCTCATACTTCCTAGGGAGGCTGAGTAAGTAGAGAAACTAAGGAAGGCTGCTTGAGCTTCCCAATTCCAGCTACTCAGAGAGTGGTCTACAAACTGCTTATTGCCCATCTGAGACCAAATAGGTACAGAAAAAAGACTAAGCCTTTACACACTTGTAGAGCAATTTGACGTCTGTTAAATCTTATTATGAAAAAGAGTTTCATTTTTAAAAATTTATTACATTTTACAAAAGCATCCATTTGTGATGGATTGAAAATTAAAATATGCAAATCAACCAACCAACCAACAAAACGGTCCTTCCCTTAGATGTTTTGGAAAGCACTGCCCTAGGGAGGAAGCCAAGGCCATTGAAGCCTGGGCCTTCCTGCTACAAATCAGAGCTCTTTCTACTCCCATACAACTGCTTTCCTAAAGACAGCTAACAGTCAACATAATTTCCTATCCCTGCACCTCTTGTATATCCAGTCAGTTTTTATGTCTCTCAGGAGCCTTAATCAACTGAGAAAGATACTCATCACAGTGTATTAGGAGGATATTGCTAAATATATCTCCACTTAAAGCATGCCATTTTAAAAGATTCAGTTGAAAGTTCTAACCAACAAGTTACACAACGTTCCTCAGTGCAGTAATTTCTGTGTGTCTTTGTAGAACACTTCAGCTGAGTGTAGACCAATGGATAGGTCTGTTAACCTAAACTGGGTCAGGTTCTTTATCAAAATGAATCAAAAAGAACAAATGTGGGATGGCAGTGGTGGAGGAGGCAGGAAGGGAGATATTGTGATATTGTGGGAAGTAAGGATGGCAGGAGGACAGCATGATCCTGGCAGCTGAGCCAAGGCAACCCCTAAGCTCTTGTTACCTCCTCTGTCTGCCTCCCCTCTCAGCTAGGTCAAGGCACGGGGTTGCTCTGACAGACCACCCAGGACACAGGGAACTAATGTGTACATCACTTTGACCAGATCATCCTCTAGAAAAAGAGAGGCCTTCTTCTCAAACAAAGATTGAGAGATTTTTCTGAGAACCCACATTGTCTTCCAGGAGTTCTGGAAGGATCTGGGAGCCGACCAAGGTCACAGGCCACCTGTCAGTTTAGTGCGGGAACTGCTGCTGTCTCCAGTGATGTTACCCTTCGTTTTACTTTCAAAAAATTCTTCTTGTTGCCTGTCAACATGATTTTGTTCTTGTTCTGACCAAGTTTAATACAGAGGGAAACAACTATTTCTCTCTTCTCCTGGAAATTTCCAGTGACCCTGCCCCCCAAAACAACACTGTAAGAAGGAAGAAATATTACTGAACACTTAGGCATTCTGCCCACAAAGACCCTAAGATCTCAAAGAATGTTACCTGTAGAGCATTAGCCCAGACCTACAGTCTGATCCTGATGAAATAGTATAGGTAACAGGAAAATCGAATGAAGAATTAAACAGTTTTAATGTCTGACTTTGGACCATAAATTTGAGTAAATTAACCTTACAATTAAAAGGGACCATGTAGGTGGGAGAAATTTTCTGTTTACTAGATGGGATGCTGCCTGAATCATGAATCTTTGAATAAAGCCAATAATATCTTTAAATTTACACGGTTGATTTTTTTTTCTTTAACATTATCTAATAGCTCTATAGCTCTTTGATTTTTTTTCCCATTCAGTTTATAGTTTAGCATATGCTTTAGCATTTCCTTTATAGACATTCTTAATGGCCTCCAGTGAGGGGCTAATACCTAAAATATATAAAGAACTCATATAACTCAACAACAAAACAACCCAATTAAAAATGATTTCATCAATTCTTTAGAGCCATATTTTTCACTCATCTTTATTACAAAACTTCTTAAAAAATAATTTATAGTCATTGCTTTCATTCCTTGCCAATAAAATTAACATCTTGGTCCTCATGCTACTAAAATCCTTTCAAATATCACCAATTACTTCTTAATTATAAAACATAACTGGTTTTTTTAATCCTCAGCTTCCTTGATTTCTGATAGTTTTAGAATATGTTAAATATTACTCTTTCTTTCTTAAAACTTTTCTTACCTTTTTCTTCACCTTACACTAGGCTACTTCCTTTTCCTTTTCATCACTGAATTTTTTTTTTTGGTCACCAAATGTGGTAATTGTCCTAATTTTATCCCTTATCACCTTCTAAAGAGAAAAGTTTGCCTCATTTTTCTCAAAGTTTCGACTATGACCACTGTGTCAAGGAGCTCAGTTTCTCTGGACTTGAGATTCACTTTTGTGATAACTGTTTTCAGTTTCTTGTTTCCTTCTCAATCACTAAGCCTCTTACCAGGTGCCTGGCTGGGTCCCTCTCTCTAAGGATTAGCCGTCCTTGACTTTTCTCTTCCTCTCTGCTTTCACTACTTTCTCCTCGCACTTCCATTTCCTAACGGGTGGTCTTGTTTTAGCTGACGTATACTTCAGTTTTTCAGTGTTTTCTGTACTTCAGTTCTGTATTCATTTTGTGCAGGGAGGCCAAATAATTTTTCTAGATATTCCTAAGAATAATAAGATTATATATTAGTGGTCCAAAGCACATTAAAGCAAAAAAATAACAATAAGGAACCATCTAGGCAACTAGCTTACTGCCCGTTGCAGTGTTTTATCTACGTGCCCTTTTGTCTCTGCGAGAGAGGGGACCTACCTAGGTCGTAAGATAGCCCACCCCATTATCGAGAACATCTCATTATTACAAAGTTCTTTCTTATATTAAGCTAAAAGTTTTACTTACTATAACCCCTCCAGTCTTATTTCTAACCTTTCTTTCCTGTGAAAGACTTTTGAATCTTTGAACATAGCTACTATTTACTTTACTTAAGGGCTTCCCCCTTCATCCCAAATTCACTTAATCATTTATTGAGATGGTTTCTAGACCCTTTACCATCTTGTTTGTGTTCTCCCAAGATTATTCTAAATCTGTTCTAATTTGTATGAAGTTCTTAATCATTACCCTAACCTGAACCCTGCTTGATAACACTAAAAAATAACATGTAGTTAGATAGATATAACATTGGCTCACCAGATTTGGTGGGAGGGGTGCAGAGGGAGAGGACTAGGGACCAGCTGAAGCAAACTGAAAGGGCTCCGTATTTATCAAAAGCCACAGGGCTACCCTCAGCAGCGTGGAGCGTGGCCAAGCCAGAGGCAGATCCCGTGTCATGGCTGAGTGCACGGGTTCCAGAATCTAACTGCCAGTGTTTCAGTCGCAGAGGTACCACTTCTTTTTGCCTTTGATGCTTCATCTGTAAAACAAGAATAATACAGCAAGTCCCCAACTTACGAACATTCGAGTTGCGAACTTTCACAGATACGAACGTACCTTGCATTACAAACATTCGTAGATGAGAACAAATTGCGGAAGTAGCTCATGTGTCTGCCGGACATTGTCACAGTTGTGCTGCTGTGTGCTTACTGTACAGTGAGATAGTGTACAGTGGTGATGTGGAGGGGACTGCTAGGAAGCGCAAAGCAATAACCACGGAAACAAAAGTGAAAATAATTGAGA